GAATCAATATGGATCCACTGTGATTAAAGGTATGCAATTCAAGGGAATCGATATCGATGACGATGGATCGATTTATTTTGCCGATGCAGGAAATGATCGTGTTATCAGACAAAGAATGAACACAACGCGTAGTGAGATTGTTGCTGGCGGGAATGGTTTCGGCAATCGAACTAATCAGCTAAATAGCCCAACAGATGTGGTTGTTGACAAAGAGAAAAACTCGCTTATTATTTGTGATAAAAAGAATCGACGAGTGATGAGATGGTCTCTCCAGAATTTGACGGAACAACGGATTATAATTTCGAACATAAATTGCAATGGTCTAGCCATTGATCAAGACGGATCGATCTATGTTAGCGATAACGATCAAGCAGTAGTCAAACGATGGAAAGATGAAGAAAAGATTGGCGAAGTTGTTGCCGGTGGAAATCTAGTAGGAGATGCACTAGATCAACTTGATCAACCATCTTATGTATTTGTTGATCATCATTATTCCGTTTATGTATCGGATACGAATAATAATCGTGTGATGAAATGGACGCAGAGTGGAAAAGCAGGAATTGTTGTTGCCGGTGGCAATGCGCAAGGAGACAACATTGGACAATTGTTTCTCGGTAATGGAGTGGTCGTCGATCATTTGGGTAATGTCTACGTCGCTGATAGTCTCAACAATCGAGTAGTATGTTGGTCAGAAAAAACTCAAGAGTCAATGATTGTTGTCGGTGGGTATGGCAAGGGAAGTGATTCACATTTATTCAATGGCTTAGACGACATAGCTTTCGATCGAAAAGGAAATCTGTATGTCGTTGACATTGGCAATCGTCGAATACAAAAATTTGACCGTGAAGACTGATGTTGTTCTCACTTTATAAAAAAAAATATGAAAATTAATCACTTAAAAATAAATTGAAGTTATGTCTTTGTATTGTGCGCAGGAGTCCAATATGGAATAAATGTATCAGTAACATATGTATTCACCTTTAAATTGAGAGAGATTTGTCGTGCAAGAATTATAGAATCGCGATTCTGATTTTTTAACTGTGTGTGATTAGCTTTCGAAAAGCACTTCATAGATAAAAATGGCGCCAGTCGGATATGTTTCTTCCCTCCGCACACATTATTTGGCATTTTCTTTTTCGTAGTTCAGCAGAGTTTCGTTCATTATTTCTTATCTTTTCTCAAAAGTATCTATGAATATATGCCGATAAAAAAACTGATTTGATAATTCTTTCGCGCTGTCGTATTCGCACGTTAGATGTAGAGCATACATGACATAATATATATTAATAAATAAAATGGAAATCGAAAAGATAACACCAGCCATTGCCTTTTTCAAGTAGTCAGTACGCGTAAAAATAGAAATGCAACATTTCTGTCCAAGTTTCTTTTTATTCATAATATACTTCACTATGCTCTAGACTCTCATTCAACCGCCCCTATTTATGTAATTATTTCATTAAATAAAAGCGAGGAGTGTTAATAGAATTGCTTTGAATTCGAAAAATGTTCCACTGATTATTTTCATATTGTTATCGATGAAATGAAATCGAATTGGAAATTGAATCTGTAAGATATCTCAAAATATTTCAGAGGATAGTCAAATCTTTTCTTTCTTCAGTCGTAAACAATCGACGGGGAACCAACTCGACCAAGACGGTTTCGAAAATACAAGTTAACTACGTTGACTGATACGATATTACTCCTGATCATTTTCATACTATTTATGTTTCTTATCAAGGCCAAGCCTAGAGTGATACAATTGACAATCAACAAAGTAGTACAAGGATCAACAACTGGTGAAGAAAGCACAAAATACTGAAGGTAGAATTTATAGAAAATTGACTCTTTCTTTCTCTCCCAGATTCTCATCATCTCACAATTTGCTCCAAATCTTTGATGATATTGTATAGATCAGGTATTAGCCTTTATCAACCTTACGAACAGTATTGAATGGAAACAAATTGGCACATTTCTTGCTCCCGCTTTTGAAGTAATCAAAGGATTTGTTTTCGTCAATGCTATGTACAATTTATATTCTAGCAAATGTATCTTTATCAATGACAATGCTCAAACGTTTTATTCCGCACGCATTTCTGAAAATAACACCACCGAATAGCGATTCGGATTGAAGTCCGGCAGAGTAAGTTCATTGAAATCAAAAGTTTTTATTGAAGACTCTCCTTGTTTTGGTATAGCTATGGATAAATGTGGATATTTATATGCTTCTAATTCGAATGAGAAGAAAATTGTACGATGGAGAGAAGGAGAGACACATGCAAAAGTTATAATTGACTACAGGTTTAGTAAAATATTTGGTATTCCCATCGTCGATTTACACATCACACATTTCTTGCATTGTAAAATGGATAAAACATCCAACCGAAGATATTTATCTGCTTGATAAAGAATTTTCCAAAAAAGCATTGGCTGCAACACGAGATACTTGAAAGAATAACGCTGGATCAGCTCGGAAATGTTTATGTAGTCGACGTAGCCAAGCGTTGCATATTGCTTTCGCTGACAGATACAAAAGAAACTAGGGTAAGTATTGGTGAATATGGCCAAGCTAAACAACTGAATCAACTTGATCATTCTACAACTATATCTGTTGATCGAAATGACATTCTTCATGTTCTGGATCAAGGAAATCGGCGTATACTGAAACTTGATGTTGTATTGAACAATAAGAGAAAATAAATTAATAATACATCAGCTATGCACAAGACGCTATTACTAGCATCCTCACCAACTAACGCGGACTTAAACATTATTATGATCCGGTTTAAGCGACTTTTTTCCTACTTTAATCAGCACAATAATAAACGACAAAATGGTCCGATGTTATTGATGTGAAAAATGTGGATAATTCATAATCAATATAGTTCCAGTTGCAGATCTTGTTCGATGTTCATAGAAATCATGTGTAGAAAGGAAAAGAGCTTTTACGCTTTTCAAGTTTATAGAGAAAACTAAGAACATTAACAACTTTGTTCATATTCATCTTCATTCGTTTATAAAAAGTTACAAGATCTATCATATTACTATGTTTAGCCATTTCTCTTTCATTCATTAAAGGTTTTCGCCGTTAGCTCGATCTGTGAGCCTTAGAAATGAAGTATTCAATTATACAGGCTATAAAAAGTTATTGATATGTTTTGCAACATGTCTGTCTTTTATATCTGTTAGTCTATTCGTTCTTTATAACTGTCGTTGGATTATTTCTGGTTTTGAAATATCCTTTGCTGAAGTGTTGTTGTATTTATAATGAGTCTTTGGGATATACAGGATTTAGCGTTTCATAGTGTGCATCTAGAGTGTGTGATTGATGTACTTATAGTAAAGATAAATTCATCAAAACTCATCTGCTCTAAAAGTTTCATCTCAGACAACAATCGAAATGAAAAAAAAACCATGGGCAGTAAAGAGAAGACAGATGGTGTATGAGCTAGCACTAAATATGCTCTTTTATTATGCATGACATGAGATTAACGAGTGCATAAAAGACAGAAAAAAAACAATAAAAAATAAAAAAAACTTCGATATGTCATGACTTCATACTATGATACTAATCTAATAAAACTTCCGTCAATATTTGATTAAGAAATACTTTCTCTTGCTGTTGATCAAAAAATGCAATCATTCTCATTCTTTGTAACGGAAGACATGCGATGAGATCTAAATTTTTTCTCTGATTTTGCTCATCAATAATTGGGTGAGAATCTACTTTGTACCACGATTATGCTCTCATTCAGATAGATTCGTGCTTAAATTGTTCTCTGGATATATTTCAGAAATATTAAATGAATCGTATATGACACAGTTCTTTTGATTGTTAGATAGTTCTAGTCTTTCTGTTTCCTAGTATATCCACAATTTTTTGTGACTTGGTACTGTTGTAACCTCTTTGATCAGCTTGTTTTTGATGATTTCGGTTACGTAATCAGTGCGAGAGTTTCCAATCGTCTATTGTCTGACTTTGTTCTGATCATGCAACAGCTGACGTGAATCTTGTTCTACTAGGCGCCACTCAAGTCGGTGTGGTTTTACCCCTAGCATTGCTTTAGAGTATGAGTACGAATTATTAAAATATGAGTTTGTCATAATGATATTCCTACAAGATCGATTACTTGTTTCTATTCTAGACAAATCAGAATACCTGATTACGTAGCAATGTATCGACACTTCTTATTGATAGTGGTAATGCTTCGTAACGCATTTGCATCGCGGAATCAATTAAACATGTATAATACAGATCAACCAATAGCAACTGATGATAGCCATTGCTTGCTCTATTATGTACCCGAAGATCTTGTTTCTTACGCAGAGGCACCAGTACTCAGTCATCAAATCATTCCGTATTGTCTTCGCTCTTCTATTCATATTAATACTTCTAGTCAAAGCAAACATCATCGCCATTTTACCTTTGGTGATTTACGTAAACAAAATGTTTCTAGTGAACAACTATATACATGGTTAGCGCCTATTGATCTCATAGAAACTTATCAGCAATATTTGAACAATGAAACAAATGCGTCGGATATATTATTCTTCAATTGTTCATGGCCTTGGCTTGGGCCCATTTGCCAGTTTACGTTCGATCCAAAGAGTTTATATTATTCATTGGATGACATTATGCGAGATGATTTCCAAGTAAAGCGAGAACTTGCTCAGAACAAATCATTTACTTGCTACACACATTTGAACTGCAGCCGACCAGCATGGTCACCATGTCTCGATTGGCGCGAGATTTGTGATGGAAAGATTGATTGCTTGGATAGTAGTGAGGATGAAGCAAATTGTATTGAGTTAGAATTGAACGAGTGCGATCATATGAACCAATATCGGTGCCATAATGGTGCGTGTATTCCTGCAGATTTTGTTCATGATGACATGTTGAATCCAGATTGTATTGATGGCACAGATGAGCCCGTTTCATTGAATTATCCTCATTTTTGCTACTCAGATCCAACCATTCGCTGCGAGGAGCGCTCATGTCGGCCAGGCTCCTCAGAACACATTTGTGGCGACGGATATTGTGTGAAAGAAGCGATGGCATGCAAGAATGCTCACGGTGATCTTATGACTAAGATAGTTTTGTCGAACGATTTACAGTTTGAGACATGTTGGAGTGCCATGTTCAAGCTTCTCTCGATGGATACATCATGGTATGACATTAACACTGATCTATATGGCGATAATGACGTATCAATTGAAGATATCTGTCCATCACTTTTCGAGTTTCCACCTAATATGCCTGTTATTTTTGGACACGTACGTTTTCTCTTTGAAAATAAGCAACCAGTGAGTGAAATTCCATTGCCAGCATATATTTGCTACAACGCACAATTATGTGATTTTCTACCAACATCCTTTACCATCAATGGTTCGACGTGCATTTCTTTTTCACAATTAGATGTAAATGAAACTGAAGTCGACGAGTTTCGCACTCTGGTCGATTTGATTCAAAGCGTGAAAGAGATATTTCGTGGATGTTCGAACAACAATATAACATTTCACTCCAGCTTGTATCAATGTGAGAACTCGTCGAAGTTTATTTCTTATCATCGACTTGTTGACGGTATTCATGACTGTCCATATAATGATGACGAGCAATTCGCTGGTAGTTGTTCACTCGATGACCGTTATCGATTCAAATGTCAAGACGAAGAGAGATGTGTTACGACTTCTCTCGTTCGAGATCGCACGCCTAATTGTAATCACGGCAATGATGAGTACGATCCATTCATACAAAGCGTGGAAAAACACATTCTTTTCCAAACAATATGCGATGGTATTCAAGAGTTGACGCCCATTGAAATCGATGGTCGAAATGAAACGGATGAAACAGAATGCGAAGAATGGCCATGCAATAATACAAATACACGTTGTGATGGCTTTTGGACATGTGCAGACGGCGCAGATGAAGTGAATTGTTATCCATCACCATGCCCACCACTTCACCACATGTGTGTGTCACCATTGACTTTTAAACTTGGCTGTTTGCCAATAGATAAAGTCAATAATTTCCATGTCGATTGTGTGGGTGGAAGTGACGAACGGCATATATGTCGCTCAATGAAACCACATTCGAAAACCGATCGATTCTATTGCATGAATGATACAAAATGTTTGCCCAAAGGCTATCTTTGTGACACAATGGAAGATTGTATTCGTGGGGATGATGAGAAATTCTGCACTAATTTTGGAGGCTGGCGCGAACGGATTTGTAACAGGGAATATATGGTCGGTAGGACTGAAGAGGAAAATTTTCTCTGCGGTCTAGACGACAGTAAAAAGCCATCGATTAGTTATTTGTCTCTATTAAACTCTGTTCCGTATCCTTCTAGTACATCTAATAGTGCTCATAAATCGCGAAGTAAACGGATTGCCTCGTCATATCCTGAGAACCGACAGCAGCTACCGTTTGAAGAAAATAAAGAATGGCGATGCAATCGAGGACTTCAAGTTCGAACATCAACTGAAAACAAGTATGTATGCTTATGTCCTCCAAGTTACTATGGTGATAGATGCGAATATCAAAATCAACGCGTTAGTCTCACTCTTCAAATACGCACCGTATCCAGCTGGCGTACTGTCTTCAGTTTTGTTGTTACATTAATTGACAATGACCAAGAAGATATTAATTCACATGACCACCTTGAATATCTACCAATTCGAGATTGTAGTGTGAAATTTCATATATACCTTCTCTATGCCACACGACCGCGAAACAGTTCAAAAAACTATTCTGTACGTATAGATGGCTTTACAAAGAATCCACTTCAATATCATGCTACTTGGAAATTACTTATTCCTTTTCAATTCTTGCCTGTGCATCGCCTTGCAGCGCAGTTACTTATTCCTATAGAAAAAGTTGAAGCAGTCAGCGTATGTCCAATATCATGTTTGCATGGGTCATGTATAAAATATATAAATACAGATGGGTTTTTCTGTCGTTGCAACGACGGTTGGTCAGGTGCACAATGCTCAAAAGAACAGCTATATAACAATTGTGCGCCTGGGGCTATATCCGAACGTTCAATTTGTGTATGTCCTTTAGGAAAGGTCGGTCCTCGATGCTATCTAACTGACACTGCATGTGACTCGAATCCATGCGCAAATGATGGGTATTGTGTATCTACCGATTTACGTCTGGCTACACGGAATACGTTTACTTGCGTTTGTCTCGAAGGTTATTATGGAGATAGATGCGAACATACAGCTGGTCAAATTATTATTGCGTTTCAAGACCTAGCCGTACCAGCTAATATATTTCTTCATTTGATCACAGTTCATGTCAAAGCTAACTACAGTCGATTCAGTATGCTCAAAAAAATTCCCTTTGAACAAGAAATAGTCACATTTCATACGAATCAGCCCTTTCACATAGGTTTTGTTCAGTACAACGAAAATTATTACATAGCAATTGTTCAAGAAATCTACAACTCGTCAGTTCCTCTTTCTACTACCATTGCTCCATCACAACGTTGTATTCCTATCGAGGAATTATTTAATAAATCCTTCGTACAAACCCATTTATTGCGCCGCATCAAGTCTTATCACGTGCCATGTAAAACGAAATCTGGCGTCGCCTGTTTTTTTGATGATATTCATATGTGCCTTTGTAATGGTATGGAACAGGCCAATTGCTTTGAATTCAATCACAATACAGTGTATGATTGTCGCGGTTATAATTATTGTGAAAATGGTGGCCACTGCTTTCAAGATAATATCACTTGTCCAACATCTTCAGTATGCGTATGTGAAGATTGTTTTTATGGGAGTCGTTGTCAATTTTCTACTCGAGGCTTTGATCTATCGCTCGACGCCATTCTTGGCTATCAAATACGTCCCAAAATAGCCATTATTAATCAATCTAATGCTGTTAAATTCAGTATTGCTGTTTCTATTGGCATGTTTGCCATTGGGATTATAAACGGTTTCCTTTCATTGTTAACTTTTCGCGGAGAAAAGCCACAAGAAGTGGGTTGCGGTATCTACCTTTTTTATGCATCAATTACATCTATATGCGCTGTATGTGTCTTGATGATAAAGATTTGGCTACTTTTACTGTCTCAAATGGGTGCAATGATGAATCCAACATTTCTAATGATTCAATGTATTTCGGTTGACTTTATTGTTAGAAACGCTCTATATATTGGAGACTGGTTAAACGCAAGTGTGGCTGTTGAACGCGCTATAAGTGTTCTGAAAAATACAACTTATGACAAGAGAAAAAGCCGGCAAATGTCTAAATGGATTATCCTATTGATCACAATATTCACCTCGAGTACAACTATTCATGATCCAATTCATCGTAAACTGATCCACGATAAGGAGGAGGAACGTACTTGGTGTATCGTTCGTTATTCTCCATCTTTTCAAGCATACAATTTAACTACGATTACATTTCATTTTTTTGCTCCTTTCGCGCTTAACATCGTCTCAGCGCTTATCATAATCATTGTGACAACACGTCAGCGCGCATCGGCTCAGCGCGAACACACATATAAGCAGCATTTAAGCAAGCAGCTAAATCAACATAAAAATCTAGTCTATAGTCCAAGTATTCTTATTGTTTTGGCTCTACCACGTATCATTACCTCGTTTGTACCTAGTTGTATGAATTCCGCTCGAGATCCTTGGATATTTCTAAATGGCTACTTCATATCATTCATACCACCAACGCTCATTTTTGCTGTATTCGTACTACCGTCAAATTTATATAAAGCAGAATTTAATAATGCAATAGCAAAAATATGGAAACAATTGTGGATCTTAACAAGAGTAAACGATGTTCGATGCAATATTACTAGTTAAATTCTTATGAAAGCCATGTATAAATACAGTACATGTACATGTATATTGTGGCAGGAACTGTAAACAGTATTTTGTAACAATTGTTCTCATTCAATCGTGAGCCACTGAGCATATTTAAAACAATTGAACCTTTTAAAATATTAATCTTCTCTATGACCAGTAAATGTCCTATTATTCTTAAGCCAAAGAATTTCCAGGAACATACGGCTGGGGACGTAGATGATATTCTTCTCTTCTCCTGATCTCCACTTTCGTTCACCCTCTTATACTCATGTAAACAATCTTTTAATCGCTTAACCCTCCCTTACTATCCTCATTTTTCGCAATTTTTACCTATTGAATAATCTCCTCAAGACATCGGAAGATAAGATAAATTCTTGAGAATGCGCTTCTTACTTCAACATAGACCTGCTAAATATATTTACTGTGTAAATAGTTTGTTTCTCAGAGAAGAGAAAAGCCAGAAGAAAAATTTCAGGAGGGTCCGCTTGGATCTCACAACGCTAACGGTAAGTTAAAATGTACTGCATGCGACGTTATACATCGTGAGAAGGAAGCGCAATCAAATAGGGAAATTTAGTTGTAAATATTATATATGAGGAAAAAAACTCAGTTTGCAACTTAAATGAACTAGAGAGTAGCGTTTAATTTTCTGCTGCAGTAGACGATGTTTATTGCCGAAATGTGAGCAGAATAAATCAAGAAGTGTGCCATAAATACGGTTTTTTCCAACTTAATATTATAAAAGCCTGTTAGTTTTTCTATTCTGTTACCACATTTTCTACATATTCACCTCTCGTTGCAACGTTATTAAAACTGTAAGTTTAATTATATATTCCTCGCCTAGTTCATATATTATGATTTTGAAGATTATAACAATTGTTATGTCAAATACAAATAACACAGGATCAACGCGAAGTCAATGCTACGATCTGGGTTTTGAGCATGCTTTGTTCGATGCGCCAAAAAGTGTAATAGATCATGTAGACCAATCACTCGATATTCTGCAAGGAGGCTGTCACAAAGGAGAAGGCAGTAAGGATTACGGCGAAGGATACAAAGATGGCGTTGATATTCGTGATGGCAAGAAATAAGAAATACAGAATACAATACTGTGTGATCGAGAACTTTACTTTTTCTTTTTCATTGATTCAATCAGGAGTAAATTTATCAAAAAAAAAAATAAAAAGATTTCTTCTTCGTGATAACATCCGTTTGTTCGCTATTGTATAATGAAGTCAAAGGATTTCCACAAAAACTATATCGATGGATACCAGCAAAATTTACTGTACATGGATGGCTTGCAATATACTTTTACGCCATAAACATTGATAATGATAGTATGATATTGTAGAAAGACTTTCCACTGTGAATGTTATGATCAAAGGAAAAAAGATGACAACTCTCGATCTTATCTTCATAGGTTGATAAGTTGACGCTTTCATGAAACACTGAGTCAGAACACATAGATACCACTAACGTCATTTTAACTGTAGCTTCACAATGATAAGATTGGTGCAACGTGACACTATAAAAGTAGAGTTGATTTGTTATTTTTTACATTCATATGAATACTTCTCCCATGCATACTTCATACGTAATCTTGTCGATAATTTTATTGTTTACCGGTAAGAATAACTTAAAACGATAAGAAAATAAAGTTTTAATTGGAGGTGTGTGTGAATGTGACAACTCAACATTACATATATCAAATGAACGCGGCGCTGGTGTATGTTATTCCTGCGTACGTTGTCCAAAGCCATTTACTCCTGATCTCTCGTCTGTTATGCAAGTTTATACGTCTACAGGCTGGTGTTCTGTAAGTTGAATAACTAATGAAAACGAATCTCATTCTAAATAATTTCAGATGATGAGTAATTCAGATTCGGTCGATGCCACTTTTAGTCGAGATGCTGCTCCGCCTGGACTATGTTACACCAGAGGATGTTCCTGGCAGATCGTAAACGGTGCTAAAACATGGGTTTGCTGTTGTGACGGTAGTCTATGTAATGGGGATCCTCCGACAACCCTCTGCTATGATTGTACGAATTGTCCAAAACCATTTAATCGAAAGAGTCTAGGAGTGTCGACAACAGATTCAAGAACGGGCTGGTGCTACGTAAGTTGAATATCCATACTACTCATGTTTTAGATATTTGTTTGTAGCGTCGAAGCACTTCGAATGAAGACTATGCATCTGTAGATCGAGGAGTCGCTCTATCAGGCATCTGTGCTTGGAATGAATGCTCGTGGAAAATCATTGACAGAAGCAGATATTGGGTTTGCTGTTGTAATGGAGACAAATGTAACTCGGCAGTTTCAATGTCAACATCTGTTATTTATAAATTGATCACTGGAGCATTGCTCATTGTTATGTTTCAGAAGAAGTTTCTTGTCTAACCTATTCACTAATGAATTCTTTGATTGACAATAAATATGGCAAATTAGCACTAAACAGTAACGAGCATCTCGAGGAGATCTACTTTTATTTTCGATATAACAAAAATTATCAATTTGTTTGTTGACTCTTGGCGAGTCGAATTTCATACAGTTTCAACAATGTTTCTACAAATATATCAACGTCTTCGTGCGTACTTCGATGGCTTACAA